AACGCCTCTGCACTCCATCGAGATCTGCTGGGCTGTACTGGCTTTAACAGCCTTTTCCACGCCGACAGATTCGGGTGGGAAACTACCCGACAGGTCGTCTCGACTTGTACCACGTCCAGAGGGGCCTACGAGAAAAGGCCAATTGAGGCTGGGCGGTGGAAGGGGTCTCGCAGGGTACAACCACGAGGAGTAGACTCCGTTAAACCTGCATGCGCCCGGACCACTCGCGACACCAACGGGGATGCCACGACTGAGAATGAACGGGACATAAGCGATGAGATGGAGGTAGAGAGACACAGCAAAGGAAGAGATGAGAAGGGAAAAACTGGTAAGAATGAGCAAATTCTTGTGTAGGGAAAGGTGTGAAAAAAGTTAGTTTAAAACAATATGACAAGTCAACTATTAAAACATGCAGTCTCGAGATTGCTAAATCTGAGGCTCATTTCAATTATACATTCTTCGTCAGAATCGCGTAATCGCCCCAATTTTGCTGGAATTAGAATAAATTGTAGTCATGCCGTCCAACTATTATTTCATCATTGCAGCCCCTTCCAACTGAACAGCCAATCATACCAGAGCTTGAGATATAACTTTCGATTTCGAAAGAAAAATTAGTGATCGAGGATCGCGGCGTAGTGACGACTGTTGGATTGTGCGATGAAGCAGCTAATGAACTTGCGCTAAGCTTTCGTTTGTACCGCCCTGGTAGGCAATAATCCATAATTTATGGAATAGAAGAACAGGTACGTCGTGGTCACAAGACGGTGAGTCGAAAACTTGTTGGCACAATCCACAGAGACAATCTTCCTTCAGTTTCCGGTGGGACCACTTGATGGATTTCTTCCAACCAACTTTTACTTTAAAATGCAAAATCATGTAACAATATATCACTGAGGACTTCTTTGAAGCCAAGTTTCTCTTTATAACTTCATACCAGAGCATATTTTCGCTCATAAGCAAGTTTCGAGAACTGGCAGTTAAATTTTCCCACAACCATTTGTGTAGAACTGACGTTTCCATTGAATTTCACATATCCTTGCCTTTCCAGGTGTTAGCATCTCGGCTGAAGTGGCCTCCATTTCGACCTCGCCTCGGTCTTACCAACACCCACAGCGGGAGTCGAACGGTTGCAGTGCAACATGTGAGCTTGACACGTTAACCACTCAGTCACACGGCCAAGAGTAGTGTGAATGCAAGGTTATGTGAACTTCAATGGAAGCGTCGGCTCTACTCATATTTGCGAAGAAAAGTTGGGTTTCGAGGCCTCTCTTGTTTCATAAGTGTTGAGCTCACTTCTATTTCGAGTGAAAGTGTGCGGTGAAGAGATTCGAAGGTCGGTTCCACCAGAAGACGATGGCGGATCCCTCTTGACCAGCTGTCGATTGGCTTTACTGGAAGATTCATGCTGACGCTGTTTCCGAAGCAATCTCCTTGCTTGACCAGCTGTCGATTGGCTTTACTGGAACATTCATGCTGACGCTGTTTCCGAGGCAATCTCCTTCGATTCCGGTGAAAGGTGCTAAGCTTTCGTCCGTCATATGACGAATATCATCGAAGCAAGGTATCATCGTTATAACCAAATTCATGCTAACGAGTCAAGAAAACTCACCGGCAAGTCCCTAAAAAGTGGTATATCTGGCCTCTTTGATCAAGTATAAAGTGATTTGGTTAGTTACGGTCATATGTCAACTTCGATGCATGTGAGTGTGTCCGTCTCTGTATTTGTAGGTGCCTGTTTGTGCTCGCTTATGCACGAAACCCGAATTGATGGTGTGTCCGACCTTGCGCAATCGGAGTGATGGTTATAACTTAAATGTAGAATGGGGGAGATAGGCGTTATCAAACCTGGACGGCCAAAAACAGACGTTCCTTTTTGCTGTCCTAATCACTTTGAGCCATCACTTCGGGTTTCGTGTACCTTTTCGCCGGAATCGAAGGAGATTGCCTCGGAAACAGCGTCATCATAAATGTTCCAGTAAAGCCAATCGACAGCTGTCGTCTTCTGGTTGAACCGACCTTCAAATCTCTTCACCCAACACCTTCACTCGAAATGGAAGTCTAATCATATTATTGTGGGAAAATTCAAATACCAGTACTTCATCACTTTAAACGAAATAGGATAAACAGAGCTCATATATCTGATTTACTGGCAGTCTCGAAAGCCTACTCCAAACGAAATTAAATCTTATAAAGACAAACAAATCATCAAAAAACATTAACTATTAGGAATTACATGTGTATTTAATGCATACAATAAATATTTAGATATTAGATATGTTGCCATAATTGTTTCCGTAGTTCACGCTAGTTTGTCTTTGTCTCTTGCTTTATATTTTTTAGATTACTATATAAATAAGGCGGCCGCTGAATCTTGCCAGTGTTCTAGTCTCGATGAGAATAAAATTAACCAAAACCCACTTTACTTGCTTGTAACATGACTTAGCCATTGTGAACTTTAGTAATACTACTACTACTACTAATAATAATAATCCCTTCAATTTTGTAGTTTTAATCAAATGTCTGTCTTTTCCCACCCCTCTCCGTCTCATCATTCCTAATCCCCACCATGAATTAACTACCTCATCAGACGACATCGATGTTCTGCCATTCGTGGCCCGGCCAAGGTGACACTGCGAACAGCCGTCCTGCTCCAAAGCCTCTCGGCTGTGGCACTTGCGAGTGGCCTAAGGGAACAAGGGTATGAAAGATAGAAACACATAAAGATAATTGATAGAGGGTAGAGAGGCAAACAGAGAATTGTGTTTGAAAAACCCTAAACCAGTTTCTCGATCAGCAAATATAAGATTTAGATTTAATTGGGATTCGTTTTCGCAACTTGACCTCGAATAATCTACCTGGTCCAGTGTCATTTGGCATTGTAGTCATGGTAATTTCCAGCGTCCAATCGTGCACTTGCTACCATGATTTGTAAATGTAAACGTTGTCCTGACAACATAATCGAGTTGCGAAGACGAGGCCAAGCCAAGTGTACACAGTGAAATGAGACATGGACCATAAGAGAAAGCACACTAGCTTGGCCATCATGCATTTTATAATGTATTTAATTCGAAAAGAAGAGCCATCCATCCACACGCTCGTTGATTCACACAAACTGCATTGACGAGCATGAAACTCGAGTGTATGACTGAAAAAGAAACATCCGTTTGACATGTTACAGCCATACAAAGACAGCCGCAATTATAGTAAAGACATGTTGTCATCTTTTGAGGTTAAAAGTAGATTACATAACAGTTGAAATGTCATGAATAAAGATTTTCTACCAAAAAGCAAAAGGGAAGTAGAACTTTTGACTGTGAAATGCAAGCATCTCCGCCATGTTTAGTGGAGAGATAATTCACAATGTCAAGTAGCT